TTGATTTGGTTGTTTCCAAACTACATTCCATCTGTAGACAATAAAAACATGCAGCAGGCTGTTAGTGTGGTTACAGACTCACACATGAACAACACATGCAGGTATGGTGACAGTCCTTTCTCCATTTCAGTGAAACTAATTATTCAAACATTTAAACATCAACCTCTCTTTATGTGCCACAGCCTCTGATAAAAATGTATCTATATGTGCTGTATTTAATTTACTATTATGACAAATGTAGTTATTTATATTGTGTTCAGTTAATCTCAGGTCAGAGGTGATGTGAGGTTTAGATAGAGAAAGAAAGAATGAAGCAAACTCCCATCTATTCCATCTGTCTTGTTTGAGGGTGAATCTTTAAACATCAGTGTCCATTAGATTGTTTTTAACGACAGTTGAAAATCTAAAATTATTTTGAAATAAAGTTAAACTTTACTGAGAATGACTTCAGATCACAGAGCGGTGTGACTGCAGCAATCACACGACTATATGTATTATAGCGCCATCTAGTGTCCTCTCAGCATGCAGTGATTCCAACTACAGAATTTACAGGATGGGAGCAGTATAGGAAATGCAGCTCAATGTACTTAATGAATTTACATAAAAAGAATTTAAGATATACAATGAAATTAAAATAGTTGTAGAAAACGAATTGACCCTTACACCCTGTGCTGTGGTTGATAGGATCAGTATGTCATTCAGAATGCCCACAGAGCAGCCCTGTGCCAGGCCACGGGCTGGTCTCATCCCTTGAATAGTTACTTCCTCATTTCCTAAAACATTAGTTATCTACTTCGCCTAAATCCAGAGACGGTGGAGAAGCAGTGAAATAAGTGCTTTTGGTAAAATACATGTGTCCCCCGCTCTAATAATAGTTGTTGTACAGTCTTTGAGTTTTAATTATTTAGTGAAGGTAAGTATGCTGTCGACATACTCAGACAATATGTTCAATTAATGTTAAAACATGGGTTAGTTGCAGTGTGGGGGGAAGAAATTCAGCAGCTTCTCCAGGCTAGGTGAAGTGTCCTCCATTATTTCTCAAACTGATGAAAGAGGGAAGTGTGTTAGCCCTGAAGCAAGAACCGGCTTCAGCCCAGGAGGAAAACGAACATCTCCCCTGTGCTTCCCGACAACGGTCTGGAGGCCGAGCGGGAAAGGTTACCCCTCAGGTTGATGGGCATCAGGTGTTGGTGTGGGGGAGGTTTGAGCACAAGAGGATATTAAAGACAAAACACAGGAAGGAGGGAGAAGAAATTAAGTTGTAATTCAACTCGTGCACTGCTGCTGCTTTAAAAGTTCAGTGTGTAGAATTCAGTGAGATGAGGTGAAGTTGCATGTTCCAAACATGAAGGAAAGCCTTCTGTTGTCAGAGAAACTCAAAAAGTGTTTTTCCAGTTTGAACTTATGGGAAAAACATGGCGCCCTCTGTAGAGAGGGAGGGAGAACGATTCATGTTCACGATTTTCCAAATAGGACCAGCCAATCGAACGTTGCTGGAAAAAGGCTGCCTTCCCATTGGTTGAGATGAGGGTCCCTAGCTAGCTTGAAAATCCAGCCTCTATTTATGTTTCCTGGTAACATTTCCTGGTTTTACTTTGTATTACTTCTCTTGGAGCATAAAACCAGAGAACAAAGAGTTTTCCTAAAGCAGATCTCTAATATTTTGTGGTCAATGTGTTAAAAGTCCACAACATTCCAGAAAATTTCAGGTGAGTATGATCATGGGTTGTGTTGATCATCATCAGTGTGTTGTTGCGGTGCGGAAATGAAGTAACAGAAACAAATAGTGCAGCGATCGTGTGGTGAGAGGGAGCGAGAGCTTCGACTCTGAACTGAAGAATCTGCTTTCACAACCAGGAACACTGTCCAGGGTTTCCCCCCCATAGAATGATCCCCTCTGCTCCCCCTCAGCCAAGGTCCTGAAAGAGACAAAGCAGAACTAGTATGAAGGCAGACACACACGTCCTGTGTTTTTAGTTTACTGTGTCAGACCTGCGGCTTACAGAAGGTCAGTAAACACTGAGAGAGGGAGGGAGGAAGTGAGTGTGTGTGAGCGTGTGGGAGAGAGGGGGGAGGTTAGCAGTAGACCAAACCGCTGAACAAAGAAACACACACAGAGGGGGGGTTTATGGGTGGATCCTTTGGTCGCTTGCCTTCAGCCAACCAATCAAACAGCCCTGGCGAAGGGCTTTATCTGAATATATTTCCCATCAGCCCTGTGAGCTTGTGAAAAACTCAAGACTTTATAATAAATAAACATGGTTGATAGAGCGGCTCCCAAAGGGAGTTGTGAGGGTCCAGGTGTGTGTCTGCTTCTGCCTGAGCTCCGTGTGAAGTCCCAGAATTACAACACCATAACAAAGCAATGTGCCTCAGTTGATGGGGTTTATAACACAGTCATAACCAAAGCACTGTGAAACTTTGGCCTCACATATATTAAAATTGGAGCGAAGTAGAGAATCTCAGCATGGTCTCTCGTTGTTCTCACACTATTTATGCTGTAGAATTATTTGATTAAATTACGTCAATTAGTGCACAGCACACGCAACTGTATTTTAATCACCCACTGCTCTCCTCTTAGTGTATTTTGTTCACGATAAAGCACGTACGCCACACAACGTCACATGGCGCAGTCGTCGTCGTCAAAAACGCCGCAGCCGTGAGATTTTACAAGAGAATTTTACAAAACTGTACCCTCAGAATTTTCCCCGTGAAAACGGTGGAAGAAGAGTCTAGGCTAACGGTGTTGCCCGTAAAAAAGGACTTTTCCCCGGAGGAAAAACGCTGGAAGAAGGCGCTGACATGACTGTGACCTTACTGTACACACTCGGTTTCACCCCGACACGCGACAGATAGCGTTCGGCCGGCACGAAAAAAACAACATTATCAAACGTGCACATTTTCCCTCGAGGTTCTCACGTCTCAGTTTCTGTAGTCTTTGCTGTTTCAACCTGCAGAAATGAACGTTAATTGCGGAATGAGTGTTGTCTCGCTTTTTACGCGCGACAAGCCAGCCAATCGGTGAGTGATGACGACGTTGCGATCCTATTTTCATCGGCCAATCGCACGTTGCAAGAAATCGGCCGCCTTCCCATTGGCGGAGCAAAGTTAGGACACGACGATGGGGCGTCTCCCAAAATGTTGAACAATGGGCAGAGAAGAACTCAATTCTGTGGGCGCATGGATGACACACAAATTCGTGAAGCGTTCTTCATTTTTATGAATTTATGAATTTTTGAAAAAAAAAAATTTGGGAAGTGCAGTACCCTGATAATCCAGCAGATGGCAGATTTGTTCCACGGGAGAAGGGAACTGCAGGGTGTCGTGCCCGGAGCGGACGCCGAGTGGCGCATGGACACGCCGAGAAAACCCTGGTGGCGCAAGATCCACCTGATGCCAAAATGGAGCCTCATTGTGTCGCAGTGACTGTGGCACCTTTCATTCCGTTTGCATTTCTCAGAGTTGTCCTCGAGGGACACAGAACTTCCACTTTGAAGTGTTTGTGTTTTTGTAAAGAAAGTACCTGATGTACCACAGCTCCAGGTGAAGTCGTCATATCTCTGCAGGTCAGCTCCCAGTAGAAGTCAGTCAGCAGCGGTTCATGTACCTGAGAAGACGTCGAGTGTCTGGAGCTCAGAGCTGCGTCCCGTCAGCCACAGCCAATGAAAGAGCAGCCTCGGGTCCCGTGTTGCCAAAAGTTTATTTGAAACAACTTTTATTGAATGCTCACAGGCGCGTGTGGTGCATTGTACCAGTGAACTACTATGATCTAATTCAATTATGTTCAACGTGTTTAAATAGGTTTTTTTTACCTTTGGGGTGGGGGATGGGCGGCACCCCAGCACCCTATATTAACAAACTGCAGGAAGCCAAGGCCCTAGTTTGTAATCTAACACAGGGCCCTCGTTGTAATCTAACACAGGATTGTAGCTTCTAAGGTTTCATGGTGTAGTGGTTATCACGTCTGCTTTACACGCAGAAGGTCCTGGGTTCAATCCCCAGTGAAACCAAACTTCTGCAGAGGTCCATAGTAACTTGGCTTGAGAAACAGAGGCTGGCCAGTTCAAGTCCAGCATGGATGGACGTTGGAGAGGTGCCAAAGTGTCCTTGAGCAAGACACCAAAAACCTCAATTGCAGGGACTCTGTGTGCTCCGTTAACACGGATGGGTTAATTACAGAGGTTAAACTTCTGTAAAATTTAAACATTTATTTAGAATGGGTGAAAAAGACTTTAAACTATATTTGATTCAGTAGTGCAAGGATAACTGGACCATAGAGCCTGGTGTGCACATTTGAACCATTCAACACAAGGATCCAAGAGCCATTGAACCTTTTATTGGATGTCGATGAAAGGATGGAGGAATAGTAGAATGGATGATTTTCTGTACAACAAACAAACACAAATAATGATCTTTCCATGCCAACAATAAATAAAAATAACAAAGGTACAGAATTTGGCTTACATATTAATGCATCCACTAAGGTTAAGAAGGAATCCGTCAAGCTTTCCTCTGGTCCTTTATTAGATTAGATTACTTTATTCATCCCCAAAGGGAAATTAGGTCTTCATAGCAGTTCTGTATTTGGATATTCACACACACATACACACCATACCCCATCTATGGGCAGCAGAGTTTTTCTTTGAGGGGCAATACAAGGTTCTGTATTTGTGGGGGAAGTGGGGAAGAACCTTGTTTTTCTTACTTATTCAGCAGTTCAGCTTGAAATATCCTCTTATTCATTCAGTTTCTGTTCTCATCCTATGAACACATCTGCATGATGTCTTCTCTGCTCCTGGAGGAGCTTTATCAATTTGAGTTAATAAGCCATGATGATACAGTGATGTCATGGATGACAGCTGGTCTAATAGAAATGATAGATTTGCATTAAGGGAAATGTGGGAATGTGCCTTTTTGACTCTATCTTTCGTAGCAGGACTTTGATCTGATAAAAGAATAATATATTAAAAGATAAATCGTTTTTTATTCTAAAGTGTGTGAGAAGTAAATATAAACAGTGAACTCTCATCTGCAGTAGTTTGGTAAACACAGGTCCTGAGTGCACAGCCTGGATCAGAGAGTTCGTGTTTAAAATCCATTGTTTAATTTGGATTAAACACAGTGGACTCGATGTTTTGATGGAAACAGATCCGTGTCGCTCTGCCCCTTTAACCCTTCAACCCCGCTCCGCTCCTCGTCTCTCTCTCTCTCCCCCATCTATCCGCTTTGTGTTCACCGTCGCTCCTCCGATCATGGCTGCTCACTCCACCGAAGAACCGTTCCCCTTCCACGGGCTGCTCCCCAAGAAAGAAACCGGCGCCGCGTCTTACCTCACCAGGTTCCCTGAGCACGATGGCCGAGGGGTGCTCCTCGCGATCCTCGACACCGGCGTGGACCCCGGGGCCCCCGGCATGCAGGTAAATCCGACCGGCTCTCTCACGCTAGTCCGTTAGCTTCTAGCTAGCAATGCTAAAGGCCCCACTCATTCACTCAATTCATACACAGCTATGTAGCTTGTTAGCATCGAGTTACGCACACGGCAACTGTAGCGATAAGCCTCATAGCCTTCATGACAACTATGCCAATAAAAAATAATCGATACAATATATTTCCTCCTGTTGCCACCTGACATAAAAAAGGTCAGAATAGTTTACTAACAGCGGCTGGTTACTTGGCACTCATGCTAGCGTGTTAGCCTAGCAGCTACAATCTGCACCAGTCTGCTTCAGCTTTCTCAGTAAACACAAGTTGTCCTGTCAGGTGGTTGAATCTGATCTATTTGTTGGGACCAGGCTTATAAAAGTTTAATTAAATAACCAATGGTCAGTCGGTGGTCGGTTAATGGGGCGTTCGTAGCCGCACGTTAACTGCCAAGTCACACTGGAGTCCTGGTAGTTAGCTTCACAGAGCTAACTTTGTTGATAGGAAACTGCTGGTTTTCATACAATTATGTTAGTGCAGTGAGGTTAGCTGGCTCATTATGAATAGACCAAGGTCCGCCATTTATTTTCAGACATACGTTGTTACTTTCTGTAATCCTGGTTTAAAGAGGAAAGAGACTGAATGTGATGCCCTCCAGTGTGTAAACAAATATCCTCCCTCCAGGATGGTTTGTTTGCAGCTTAGCTTCAAGATCAGATTCAGTTGGCAGGTTGTGATTTTCTGTTGTTGTATTTATGCTGTGTCAGTGTGTGAATATGTTCTCTACACCTTCCGATGTCTCTAAATGATTATTGTTCCTTTAGGTCACAACAGAGGGGAAGCCAAAGATCATTGATATCATCGACACGACAGGCAGCGGTGACGTGAACATGACCACAGTGGCAGAACCTAAAGACGGGACAATCGCAGGCCTTTCTGGCAGAACGCTTAAGGTCAGTAGACATCACTTGGTATCAGGATTAATTCAAAAAGATAAAAGAGTTAAAGCCACTGTCCTGTATGTTAAGTCATTTTGTAGTAATGTGTAATAAACTCTTTAAACCTTATTAGATCATTTGACTCAAACTTGATATATTTTCTTCATATCTGTTTCACACTGAGTCTTTTTCTGTCTTCCAGATTCCTCCTGCTTGGGTCAATCCATCTGGGAAGTATCGCATTGGAGTTAAAAATGGCTATGAATTCTTCCCTAAGGCTCTTAAAGAAAGAATACAGGTAGGAAGACAGGGACATTATTTCTGTACCAGCTCTGCCATGGCTTTAACTTTTGAACTCTATGGTTGTGCATTATAATAGCTATAAAACTTGTATGAATTAAATAAGATTTTCAATTACTATTTTTCAAGTGGCACCCATTACACCTAATTATATGAACTTTGTAATGAATGAACAAACAAATACCATAATACTCTCATGAAAGAGTGGAAAAACTGGACTAATTTGACAACCACAGTTTTTGCTGATGCAGCTGTTGTATAATTTCTTTACATATATTCACAAGTGACTAGTAAACAGAACTGTACATTATCCAATCTGTAAAACAATTAGAATAAACCTAAGGTTTGTCGGCTTCTGTCAATATTGTTAAGGCACTTTTACTTTTGTTTACTAGAAAGAGCGAAAGGAGAAGATATGGGACCCACCACACAGAGCGGCGCTTGCTGAGGCCTCCCGAAAGACAGAAGAGTTTGACCTTTCTCACCCAACACCCTCACAGGTTAGACCTGCGAAGCTGAGCTCGTGATTTTTCTTTAACCTTTGCATGCTAGTCATAGCAATGTGATGTTTCCTTTTCAGATTTGTCTCTGTCAATTTCACATTTATCCCTCAACCCTGCTTTTCTTTCCAGATGGAGAAGTTGCAGAAAGAAGAGCTGCAGAGTCAGTCAGAGCTGCTGGCATCTCTAGAAAAGAAGTACAGCGATCCTGGTCCTGTATATGACTGTGTGCTTTGGCATGATGGAGTCACATGGAGGTACCCATACTACATCTATTCCCTCATAATCCATGATTCTGTCATCTCTTTCTACTTTTGTTACCACTTTTTTTTATGTTTTTATTTAATTTATCTATAAAAAATTTTTAGGGCTGTTGTGGACACTTCAGAATGTGGAGAGCTGTCCCAGTGCACTGTGCTGTGCTCCTACAGAGAGACTCAAGAATACGCCACATTAGGAAATGCTGAGATGCTTAACTACTCTGTTAATATTTATGATGAGGGAAATACACTCTGCATTGTCACCAGTGGAGGTAAGCCAATCCCAGTACAAGATGAATATTTGTTTTTCAGTTGCTCCAAAAAGAGTTAACACGAAAGATGTTCAGCACCATTGTGTTTTCTCCATTCTAACTTGCCTATGTGATTTTAAAGGGGCTCATGGGACACACGTGGCAAGCATTGCAGCAGGTTACTTCCCAGAGGAACCAGAGCGCAATGGTGTGGCCCCCGGTGCCCAAATCCTGGCTTTGAAGATTGGAGACACCCGCCTTAGCACCATGGAAACAGGAACAGGACTCATCCGTGCCGTACGTTGCACAGACTCTGGATATTAAAGTTTAGCTTCAATTGTTTTTAAGCTTTTAACCTTTTTTCTTTATCTTATGTCTATGTCACATAAAGATGATTGAAGTAATCAACTACAAGTGTGACCTGGTGAACTACAGCTATGGAGAAGCAACTCATTGGCCCAATTCAGGGTAAATACTGCTTTGTAGTAGCATTGGGGTGTTTCATTGTGTGGGTTATTTTGTGTTTCACATTTATGGTCACTTATTGAATTTTTTTTCATTTTAGGAGGATTTGTGAGGTGATCACTGAGGCTGTCCAGAAGCACAATGTGATATTTGTCTCAAGTGCAGGAAACAACGGCCCTTGTCTCTCTACTGTCGGCTGCCCAGGGGGAACCACTAGCAGTGTCATAGGTACACACACACTTAAAACACATGCATTGAAAAGGTATATCTTAGTTGAATTGGGAAGACATCCAAATTACATTGTATTTCATTAGCCTTTAAGTCAAGTTAACACTACAGCCTTTGACATTCCAATTTGAAATTGTATGCACTCTGAACTGTTGGAGTGGGAGTTGGCGTGTGGGTACAAATGCAGAATGTAGGATGGCCCATGCAATATAGAGACAGCTTCACAAATTGGGCCAATTGTGGTTTCAAAGAGGTTTTCAAAATTAAATTTCTCCACAGGAGTTGGAGCGTATGTGACTCCAGATATGATGGTGGCAGAATATTCTCTAAGGGAGAAACTACCACCTAACCAGTACACTTGGTCGTCCAGGGGCCCCAGTACAGACGGGGCCCTGGGGGTCAGCATCAGTGCCCCAGGTGGTGCCATTGCATCTGTACCCAACTGGACTCTTCGTGGTACCCAGCTGATGAACGGGACGTCCATGTCATCACCTAATGCCTGTGGAGGCATTGCATTAATCCTCTCAGGTGTGTTCTTGGACTAATATTAGATGTGAGAATATATTCCAAGTATGCATGAATGGAAATCTAATGCTAGTTTGGGATTTGTGTGTGATAAAGGGCTGAAGCAGAACGGGATCCAGCCCTCTGTACCTGCGGTGAGGAGAGCGCTGGAAAATACAGCTCTGAAGGTTGATGACATTGAGGTTTTTGCACAGGGCCATGGAATAATCCAGGTAATTTGACTTAAGTTGATTTTGTAGTTTCTTTTTCTGTCTCTTATGTTAATTTGTTTTTACTGTAAGTGCTGTAAATGTTATTTCTTTCAGTAATTTCCTCTTTTTATTCCTCTCAGGTGGACAAGGCATTAGACTACCTCACTCAACACGCCTCTTTACCCACGAGCCACCTTGGCTTCTCAGTAAGCGTGGGAACACAGAGAGGCATCTACCTCAGGGACCCAGGCCAAGTTCTTGCACCTTCAGATCATGGAGTAGGAATTGAACCCATCTTCCCAGAGAACACAGGTGCTGTACCTACTCAGGAGCACAACCACTGTGTTTTATTTGAGTGTTTTCTCTTTTTTAAAACACAATCTGTCTTTCTCTAATATCCTTCACAGAAAACTCTGAGCGAATCTCCTTGCAGCTGCACCTGGCGCTCACATGTGCTGCCCCTTGGGTCCAGTGTCCCTCGCATCTAGAGCTGATGAACCAGTGTCGTCACGTCAATGTCCGCATCGATCCTGTCGGACTGAGAGAGGGAGTGCACTACACAGAGGTAGGGACAGGACAGAGAGGAGGAGGAAAAGATGGCGCTGTCTCAGCCGAGTCTGTATTAATGTTAATCTAATCACTTTGAATGTGTTTGTTAAGGTGTGTGGCTACGATACAGCAGCACCGAGCTGTGGCCCACTGTTCAGAGTTCCCATCACGGTTATTATCCCGGCCAAGTGAGTTTTTCTGTTAATTCTGCTTTTTTTAACGAAAAGAGGTTTGCATCAGTGTGTTTGTGTAACTGACAGATCTGTGTGTCTTTCTTCAGAGTGACAGATAATCGTAATCAGGAGGTGTGTTTCACAGACGTCCACTTCAGACCAGGTCAGATCAGACGCCACTTCATCACCGTTCCTCAGGGAGCCTCCTGGGCAGGTCAGTGTTCTGCACTTATAAATCTCTTCAATTCCAGTGTACATGAATTAATTTATTATATTATTGTGGAGGTGAAGGGGCTGGGAGAGCTGTTAGCTGATTGATCCTCATGCTTGAAAAGGCAGCAGCAGAGCTGCCTCAGAGGAACACACACTGGGGAAGAGACTGGGCGAAGCTAAAGGTCCAGCAGAAAGTGCTGGACCCTTTAAGTTAAG